TATTGATTTCAGAGAGAGGAAAGGAGAGGGAGAGAGAGAGATAGAAACATCAATGATGAGAGAGTCATTGATCCGCTGTAGCCCGCAACCCGGGCATGTGCCCTGACCGGGAATCGAACCCCGATGGCCTGGATCCTAGGTCGACGCTCAACTGCTGAGCCACGCCCGGCCGGGCAGGAAACGTATCTTAAAGGAAGGAAACAGTACCCTGAGAAAATAACCAGGCTACTGACTTTAGTTGAATGGTCAGAGGTAGCTTCCCTAAGGATGTCACATTTGGGGCCTGAAAGTGCAAAGTAGGCAGCAATGCAGAGTCAGGAGAAGGAGGACCCCGGGTTAGAGGTGCCAACATAGCCTTAGGGACGGCATTGAGAAAAAGCTTGTAAACGCCAAGAACTGAAAATAGATCAGTGTGGCTGGAACCACAAAGGAGAGGAAAAGGCCAACCAGAGCAGGCGGGAGCTAGGCCGTGTATGGCTTTGTAGCTGGGGATAAAGAACTTGGCTTTGCTAAATCAAAAGGGAAACAATGAGAAGGTTCTTAGTGCAACGCCTCGCACACCAGTGACTGGCTACTAAAAGTTAACATGACGCTGATGATGACAATGACGAAGACACCAGGGAGGAGAAAGTGACATGCTGGAGTTTGCAATCATGTAGGAACACACTTCTGTATAAAACTAGACAAGTATTCCTGACTATAGAAAAGCAGGTTTTTAAAACAGCAGATAAAAGATACGGTTATTGACAGAGTTATTAGAAGGGGCACTGTTTCATGAGGCAGAAAAAGCCTTAAAATGTGAACTACGAAATCATGAAACAATCATGAATAACAAAGGCTAACAGCCTAGGAAAATAAGTTTTAGCCCCTGTGTAGCTTCTCTTATCTCTTATCCCTCACCCTTTATCCCTTCATTTCGAGTGAGGCCGCTCCCCTTTCCTGAGCGCCCAGACTAACCCACCGCTGGCCTCCAGGATCTTCTGTATTTGATACAAGGGGCATTTCAACCTGCAGCTCCCTCCACAAGAAGCCACATGCTAAACACCACTGTATGGCAGAGCTCCGTTTTCAGCTCTCGGTTGGATCAAGCAAGCCCAAGTACCAGCATATTTGGCTTGCTTTGAATTAAAATTTAATGATAAAATAGATATTTTGAAATTGTTGTATAAAAACAAATCTGGATACAGAGCAGATAAAAACAAACGAGCAGATGCATGAAGATGCAGCTTTGGAACCTGAGCCACGACAGATGGTAAAGCTGACTGCCGGCTGGGCTCTAGATTTCACTTTTAACATTTCAGATAAACTGTGTTTTTTGGCCCAGTTAATTTTAGCTCTCACTCCAGGCTAAAGATCGTGGGTCACAGGTTGTATATTGGGCCTCTGGGCCTGAAACAGTCAGCGTTCGGGGGGTGAATTCGGCACTCAGTGAGAAGCCTGGGTCTGGTCCGAAGAACAATAGAATACTGAGTTAGTCTCTGTCGTTTCTTTGCCTGTGTGATCCACCCTAAAGAGCGAGTTTGGTGTGACACTGCAAGCGACTATGGCACGGCTCCGCCCGACTTCTTAAGAAGAACTGTTCATGTCATCCACGTTCAAGTATGAGTCACCTTTCTCCAGATGATGCTGTAGAAACAAACAGTCAATAGCAATTAAACAAATCAAAAACAGTAACAAACAAAACATTCTTGTGGCTTACAACAATGTACATTTATTCATTCTTTGCTCGTGTTAACATGTTGGTTTGGGGTCAGTGGCAGCTCTTTTGATCTGTCCCCTGTCCCATCAGTCCCTGGGACCCAGGCTCTTGGCCTTGTGAGCGGGGTAAGTAAGAGATCATTGAATAATGCAATGACCTCCAAAGCGTCTGCTCGGAAATTGTACATCACTCTGCTCATATTCTGCTGGGCAAAGCAAGCCCACAGTCAGTGGGAAGGAAAAGAGCACAGGGAAATAATAGTCTATTCCAGTGTGCAAGCACAAAGGAGGGGGGGTTTGGGGAGGGGAGGGGGGTTGCAAATTCATAAGTCCTAGAATATTGAATGCAAGATGTGCTACAAAAGTACTTGGGGTCATTTTAGAACCTTTAATGAATTTTATTTGAAAGTCTTTTTCAAAGAGGTTGTGGTTAAGGTATTGCTGTGCCTGGGATCCAGGGAGAATACAAGCTTTCAGAATTAACGAGGTTTCATTTTCACACTGAGAGAGAAACACAGACAAAATCAATTGTGCTTCTAGGTTTAGGGCCCCCGAGCACTGTACGTTCCTCCGCAAACATTTGGACTGCAGCTGCCTTTCTCCTTGCTAACGCCCTTGAATTTCATTAGTGAGGCCCAGGGGAATGGCCCACTTTAGCTGACTCTGATGCTAGTTGGCTGTTTTTCTTCCTTCTTGTCATCTTCTAATGGGCACGATAGAAAAGAGAGGCTCCACTCTTAGCAGAAGCAAATGGAACCCTGGAGAATTAGAAAGCAGGAGGATATCTTACTGTGTGTTCATGCTTTCTGGTTTCTAAGAACTGTCGTATGTCTGCATCTCTAACAAAAATGGAACCATTTTACCCTGCCTTAAAATCAGTGAATCAACAAGCATTTGTTAAGTACCTGTTTACAAAGTTCTGTTTAGGTGCCGAAGGGGATACATGAATTTCTCTTCTTTCAGAGAATGGCTGTTTGGCTAGAGAGATATTTAGCATAACTTTATGACAGCATGCCAAAAAAAATGTGTGTGACAGCTCATAGAAAGGAGCTGGTTTGGTGTGAGTCAGTGGAAAGGCGTGTGATGTTTTAATGTCTCTGTAAGACTGTCATATGTCTGTACCATATTTACTTAATCACCCTCCTATTATGAGACATTTGGGATATTTTCAATTCTTGTTATAGAACATACTTTGATGTGGATCCTTGTGTGTCTTTGCCTGTATCTCGAATGATTTCCTTACGGTAGTGTGTTAGAGGGGAGTTACAGGGTCCAAAACTAGGAACATTTTGAAGACTCCTGATACATACTGCCAAAGTATTTTCCAGAAATTTATATTTCAGATAAGAGTGACTGTGTTACCATATCCCCGCCAGCTTTGAGTATCATACTTTTAAAATCTCCCTTCTACTGCTTGTTCCTCTTGGCCTGGATAAGCCTTTAAATCTCAGCCTAAAGGTTCTTTCTGCTGAGAAGTATTCCAGAATCCCCAGTATGAGTTCAGTGTTTGGTTAAGCCAAGGGTTCTCTCCACTTTAAGACCTTTTCGTATTACCCTTTCACTGTTCTGAAAAGAGGCCCATGGGTGATATGACCTCAACATCCACATTTACATAAAACATTTTGGTTCATGGTATGCAATTTAGGAGAAATAAACTTAATATATATATATTTACTTCAGTAAGTTAAAAGCCTGGCAAGATGCACTTGAAGGCAGAGTGAAAGTATTAAGCTGCTTCCTCCCTGAGTCACTATGAAGGCTGAGGCAGAAACACAGCCGACATGGCTGGGTAGGTCGGTGACAAATTTTCTGAAATGGTGACTAACTCTTGGCAGATTTCCAGGAGAGAGAAAAAAAGAACTTTAAATTTACACTCTACTTGTCATCCTGGAAAATTCAGTGTGCATTATAACTGGGCAAAAATATTTTGTGTTTAATATGTCAGATGGAAACTAGATTTTATACTTAGTAATAAACTGTCACTTATATGAATGTCGCACAGGACATAGGATAATTCCTGTTGTGTGTGACTGTCTCTCACATTTCAGGGTATTTAGTATCTTTGGTCCCCAGCCACTAAACGCCCCGCCACCATTGTGTTACTAATTAAAACAAAAGCAAAAAAATACCTTCACACATTNACCCTGCCACCATTGTGTTACTAATTAAAACAAAAGCAAAAAAATGCCTTCACACATTTCCAAGATGCCTAACTGTGGTACCTACAGAGAAACAATGTGGAGTAATAATATTGTACCCTGTACTTTTCAAATGCGACGTTCACGTTTTTTTAAAAACTGGGCTTGCTTGTTTAAGTTCCTTGTGAAGTGTCTCTTTCACAGTGCTATCCCCAGCAACAGGTGCTGGCATTTATTATGCTTTGATAACACTCATTGAGGGATTGAGTTAATATTTAGATGGCTAGATCACCCAAAATAATTCTATGCAAGGAACAGCATGTATATCAATGGAACAATTTCTGATTTTAGTGAGGAAGCTCTAGTGTCAGGTATAACAATAGTCCACATTTTCTATGTGTAGGTATTTTCTTATGGAATTCACACTGTTTTATCTATTTGCTTCAACAACTCCTTGAGCCAGGCTTAGACTTAGTAAGTTATTCAGTTATTAAGTGAGGAGGTTTGTGACGGACGTGGGAATGGAACCCAGGGCTATGTGACTCCATAGGTGGTGCTCAGGGCCACTACACTACAAGATATTGACTATTGACTGAAACAATTGGTCTTTATTATATGAAAAAAATTCTTCTTTTGCTCCTAACTTTCTAAGAGTTTTGTTTCTAATAAATAGGAATGCTTATAAACTTTGTGACATCTATGGAGATGTATGATTTTTCGTTTTGAACCTACTAACGAGCTTAATTTATAATTGCTCATTTCAGACGATTTCTGCATTACATTTTTTCTCGTATTCGATTTGGTATTTAAACCTAGCAATGGAGTGAATTCATTTTTCTAGGACTGGGTTTAGAATTTTTTCAAAAATATTATCCATGTTAATAGGTGAAATCAATTAAAACATTTTAAATTGATTAAAAAAATGTTTTTGGTTTTGGATCTATGCTTTTGGATTCTTTTGGCTTAAGATTTTATCAATATTTAGTGTTATTGTATGTGCTAAAGAATCACCCACTGACTACTGTCAAATATAATATAAATGTGTAACCCAAATTAGATTATAACTCATTTTGAATCTGCCATTTTATTATCTCCAAAGAATATGACCCAGCCAAGGTAATTTTGTTGATGAGAATTACAGATCTATTTTATTTTTCTGTTTAGGTTCGAGATGATGATGACTTACTTGGAAAAGTCTGTGGCAATGAGACCCTCTCTCACATTAAATCCATTACTAATAGCATCTGGATCAGGTTCATAATTGATGCTTCTGTTGTAAGAGTTAGCTTCAGAGCTGTTTATCAAGTGGGTAAGAAAGCCTGAGCCTTAATTTTCAAATGTGCAATTTCCATGATTTTAACCTTTTAATTTCTAGAAATAATTTTGCCATTTTATGTCCTCAGGTGGCAAGGAAAAAATTCTAATAGTAATGTCACATTCCATTATATCCTTGCACATAATTGAAATTTGCAATAAAATTGAGGGCAAGGATCATTTCTCTCTGCACAAACACTAATCTCAGTTTCATCTTTACAGCCTGCGGAGGTGATTTAAGCGGAGAAGGGGTCATTCGCTCGCCCTTTTATCCTAACGTGTATCCAGGAGAAAGGATCTGCAGGTGGACCATCCACCAACCGCAAAGCCAAGTAGTTCTTCTCAACTTCACTGGCTTTGAAATCGGCAGCTCTGCCCACTGTAATACAGATTATATTGAAGTAAGAGTAAAACTCCTTTGAATATTTACATTTGATTGGACATTAATAAAAATATTATGTCATGTTATCTTCAAATCAGTTACATAAAACAAAACTAGTTTGTACAGACCACTATTCTTATGAATATAGATGTAAAAATCCTCAACAAAATACTAGCTAACTGAATCCAGCAGGATATAAAAAAGATTACATATCATGGCCAAGTGGGATTTATCTCAGGAATGCCAGATTTGTATACATCTGAAAATAATTTAATGTAAAATGAAATAAAGGAAAAAGCCATAAGATTGCCTCAATAGATGCTGAAAAGGCACTTAACAAAGTCCAGTACTTTTTCATGATAAAAACACTCAGCAGATTAAGAATAGAAGCATATTTCCTTAATCTGATAAAGGGCATCTGTAAAAGAACACACCCACAGCTAACATCATATTTAATGACGAAACACTAAATGCTTTGCCCCTGTGGTCAGTAAAAGAACAAAGCTCTCTATTCTCACAACTCTATTCATCATTACACTGGACAGTCTAGCTAAGGCAAGGAAAGAAAATAAAATGCACCTAGAATGAAAAGAAAGGATTTAAACTATATTCACAGATGACATGATCTTGTATATAGAGAAATCATAAGGAGCATATGCACACACACAAACTATTAGAACTAATAAATTCAACTTACAGGATACAGTATTAAAACGTGAAAGTCATTTCTTTTTCTATACATTAGCAATGAATGATTAGAAAATAAAATCAAGGAAACAATTCTATTTATAATAGCATTAAAAAGAATGAATACTAAATAATACATCTTGAAAAAGATGTGTAATGCTCGGACTCTAAAAACCACAAACCATCATTGAAAGATCTTAAAGACCTAAGTAAATGGAAAGATGTCTCGTGTTCGTGGATAGAAGACTTGATGTTGTTAAGATGGTAATACCTTCCAAATTTATTTGAAGATTCAATTCAATCCCTATCAAAATCCCAGCTGACACTTTTGCACAAATTCACAAGCTGATTGTAAAATTCACATGGAAATGCAAGGGAACCAGAATAACCAAAGCATTCTTGAAAATAGAATGAAGTTGGAGGACTCACACTTGTTGATTGTAAAACTCAGAACAAGGCTGTGGTAATCAAGAAGTGTATTATTTGAGTAAGGATAAAAATATAAAACAAAATATGGAACAAAATTTAATATCCAGAAATAAGTCATAACTTTGTGGCCAATTGATTTTTGAAAAGAGTGCCAAGACATTTCAAAGAGAAAAATAACTTTTTCAACAAATGATGTGGAATATCTACACACAAAATTATNTGGCCAATTGATTTTTGAAAAGAGTGCCAAGACATTTCAAAGAGAAAAAAATAACTTTTTCAACAAATGATGTGGAATATCTACACACAAAATTATGAAACCAGACCCCTTCCTACACCATTTACAAAAATTAAGTCAAAATGAATCAGAATTAAATGTGGGAGCTAAAACCCTGTACTCTTAGAAGAAAACATAAGGGTAAGTATTTGTGATCTTAGGTTAGGCAAAGCCTTCTTAGATATGACAAAAAAATACAAACAAAAAAAGGAAAAATCAGACTTCATCAAAATTAAAAATAACCTAATTTTAAAAATGTGCAAAGAATATGAATATATATTTCTTCAAGGAAGATATACAAATGGCCAATAAGTACATGAAAAGATGCTCAACATCACTAATCATCAGGGAAATACAAGTCAAAGTACAATGAGGTAAGTTGCAGAATACCCACTAGGATGGCTATAAAGAAGAGATTAGATAATAACAAGTGTTGGCAAAGATTTGGAGAAATCGGAACCCTTTTACACTTGTACACTGCTGGTGAGCATTTAAAATAGTACAGCTGCTTTGGAAAAGAGTTGGCAGTTCTTCAAAAAGTTAAACATAGAGTTATCATTTGATCCAGCAATTCCACTCCTAGATATACACCTAAGGAAAATAATATATGTGTCTACACAAAAATTTGTACATGAGTGACTACAATCATTATTCATAATAGCAAAACAATATAACAATCTAAGTGTTCATCAGCTAATGAATGAATTAACGAAATGTGCTTTATCCACACAATGGAATGTTATATGGCATTAAAAAGGAATGAAGTAATTACACACAACTTTGAAAACGTTGTGCTAAGTACAAGAAGCTAGTCACAAAAGGCCACATATTGTATGATTCCATTTCTTTGAAATGCAGAATAGACAATTTATGGAGATAGTAAATTAGTGGCTGCCTGGAGCTAGGGTTTGAGGGGAATAGGGAATGACAGCTAATGGGCATGGAGTTTCTTTTGGGATGACAAAAATATTCTGAAATTGACTTCTATTATATTAATAAAAACATTTCAGAAATAATTATTCTTAAAGCAGTTTTTCAAAATAAGTATCTAATAATAAATTTGAATATATCTTTTTAACCTTAGATTGGTAGCAGTTCCATTTTGGGTTCTACTGAAAATAAAAAATATTGTGGCACAGACATACCTTCGCTTATCACATCCATATACAATTTTCTTTATGTCATATTTGTCAAAAGTTCTTCTACTGAAAATCATGGTTTCATGGCTAAGTTCAGTAGTGAAGATTTGGGTAAGTGATTGACTCTTCTGCTTTGTTTCTCAGGCTTATATCAGAATAAGTAAACAATGGAAATAAATTATTATAGAAAATTTACCTATGCTGTAGATGTGTACTTACCTACACTATAAAATTTTAAGGTATACTCTAAAGAAAAATATATATTTCTTAAGCAGCACATATCGATAGTTAATTGATGTCTATTAATAAGAGAAAAACCAAGTTATCTGAAGTGGCATATAAGGAAAATTTTTCTTTTTGAGCTTTTAAGAGCTTATGATCAGATTATTTTATCTTGAATTTCAGGTAACTTGTTGGTTGCTTGTTCTAACAATTATTATTTTTATTTCAACAGCATGTGGAAAAATTCTTACAGAGCCAACAGGAGTTATTCAAAGTCCTGGTCATCCAAATATCTACCCCCATGGGATCAACTGTACCTGGCACATAGTAATCGAATCTGGCTACCTGATAAATTTGGTATTCAGAAGATTTCATCTGCAGTTTCACTATAATTGCACAAGTGACTATCTGGAAGTTTATGACACTGGTTCTGAGACATCTCTTGGGAGGTGAGATTATTTTGGTTTTGTTTATTTTTTTCACACTAAAATTTTCTTGCTTCAGTGAAGGATGTTAAAATCTATCATGTGTTATAAAAAAAACAGGTGAGATTAACAAGCTTCTCTATAACCATTTCTATATCACTGCTCTGTAGTCTTGACCTTTCACAATTAAGTTTTGACAGATGTGTATACCTATGAAGGCATAACTAAAATCAAGATAATGCAGACACCAATTATCCTCAAACTCTTCCTTCTGCCCATAATAATTTCTTACTTCTGCCCCTCAGCCCCATGCCCAGGAAACTACTAGCCTGCTTTCTCTCACTGCAAATCAGTTTGCATATTCTGGAATTGGAATTATACTGTATACACTGTTTTCTTTTTTAATTTTTATTTTTGTTTAAAATATTACAGATGTCACTTTTTCTCCCCAATGACCCATTCCACCCCTTCCCACCCCCTCCCCAATCCCT